TCAGATTGGATTTAAAAACAAGACCCATCGATATGCTGTCTGCAAGAGACTCATTTTAGACCCAAAGACACCCCCAGATTGAAAGTGAAGGCGTGGAAAACGATTTACCATGCTAATGGACACTAAAAGAAAGCTGGGGTGGCAATCCTTATATCAGACAAATTAGATTTTAAACCAAAGACTGTAATAAGAGATGAGGAAGGACACTATATCATACTTAAAGGGTCTATCCAATGAGAAGATCTAACAACTGTAAATATCTATGCCCCTAACATGGGAGCAGCCAATTATATAAGCCAATTAATAACAAAAGCAAAGAAACACATTGACAACAATACAATAATAGTGGGGGACTTTAAAACCCCCCTCACAGAAATGGACAGATCATCTAAGCAAAAGATCAACAAGGAAATAAAGACCTTAAATGACACACTGGACCAAATGGACTTCACAGACATATTCAGAACATTCCATCCCAAAGCAACAGAATACACATTCTTCTCTAGTGCCCATGGAACATTCTCCAGAGTACATCACATCCTAGGTCCCAAATCAGGTCTTAACCAGTACCAAAAGATTGGGATCATTCCCTGCCTATTTTCAGACCACAATGCTTTGAAACTAGAACTCAATCACAGGAGGAAAGTCAGAAAGAACTCAAATACATGGAGGCTAAAGAGCATCCTACTGAAGAATGAATGGGTCAACCAGGAAATTAAAGAAGAATTAAAAAAAATCATGGAAACCAATGAAAATGAAAACACAACTGTTCAAAATCTTTGGGATACAGCAAAGGCAGTCGTAAGAGGAAAGTATATAGCAATACAAGCCTTTCTCAAGAAACAAGAAAGGTCTCAAATACACAACCTAACCCTCCACCTAAAGGAGCTGGAGAAAGAACAGCAAATAAAGCCTAAACCCAGCAGGAGAAGAGAAATAATAAAGATCAAAGCAGAAATCAATGAAATAGAAACTAAAAGTACAGTAGAACAGATCAACGAAATTAGGAGCTGGTTCTTTGAAAGAATTAACAAGATTGATAAACCCCTGGCCAGACTTATCAAAAAGAAAAGAGAAAGGACCCAAATCAACAAAATCATGAATGAAAGAGGAGAGATCACAACCAACACCAAAGAAATACAAATAATTATAAGAACATATTATGAGCAACTCTATGCCAGCAAATTAGATAATCTGGAAGAAATGGATGCATTCCCAGACATGTATCAACTACCAAAACTGAACCAGGAAGAAATAGAAAGCCTGAACAGACCTACAACCACTAAGGAAACTGAAGCAGTCATCAAAAATCTCCCAAAAAACAAAAGCCCAGGGCCAGATGGTTTCCCAGGGGAATTCTACCAAACATTTAAAGAAGAATTAATACCTATTCTTTTGAAACTGTTCCAAAAAATAGAAATGGAAGGAAAACTTCCAAACTCATTTTATGAGGCCACCATTACCTTGATTCCCCAAACCAGACAAAGACCCCATCAAAAAGGAGAATTACATTGATGAACATGGATGCAAAAATTCTCACCAAAATACTAGCCAAGAGGATCCAACAGTACATTTAAAGAATTAGTCACCACGACCAAGTGGGATTTATCTCTGGGCTGCAAGTTTGGTTCAACATCCGCAAATCAATCAATGTGATACAATACATTAATAAAAGAAAGAACAGGAACCATATGATCCTCTCAATAGATGCAGAAAAAGCATTTGACAAAGTACAGCATCCTTTCTTGATCAAAACTCTTCAGAGTATAGGGATAGAGGGTACATACCTCAATATCATAAAAGCCATCAATGAAAAACCCACAGCAAATATCATTCTCAATGAGGAAAAACTGAGAGCTTTCCCCCTAAGGTCAGGAACGCGGCAGGGATGTCCACTATCACCAGTGCTATTCAACATAGTACTAGAAGTCCTAGCCACAGCAATCAGACAACAAAAAGAAATAAAAGGCATCCGAATAGGCAAAGAAGAAGTCAAACTCTCACTGTTTGCCGATATGATACTTCATGTGGAAAACCCAAAAGACTCCACCCCAAAACTGCTAGACCTCATACAGGAATTCAGTAAAGTGGCAGGATATAAAATCAATGCACAGAAATCAGTGGCATTCCTATACACCAACAACAAGACAGAAGAAAGAGAAATTAAGGAGTCAATCCCATTTACAATTGCACCCAAAACCATAAGATACCTAGGAATAAATCTTACCAAAGAGGCAAAGGATCTGTACTTACAAAACTATAAAATACTCATGAAAGAAATTGAGGAAGACACAAAGAAATGGAAAAAAGTTCCATGCTCATGGATTGGAAGAACAAATATTGTGAAGAGGTCAATGCTACCTAGAGCAATCTACACATTCAATGCAATCCCCATCAAAATACCATCCACTTTTTTCAAAGAAATGGAACAAATAATCCTAAAATTTGTATGGAACCAGAAAAGACCCCAAATAGCCAGAGGAATGTTGAAAAAGAAAAGCAAAGCTGGCCGCATAACAATTCCGGACTTCAAGCTCTATTACAAAGCTGTCATCATCAAGACAGTATGGGACTGGCACAAAAACAGATACATAGATCAATGGAACAGAATAGAGAGCCCAGAAATGGAACCTCAACTCTATGGTCAACTAATCTTCAACAAAGCAGGAAAGAACGTCCAATGGAAAAAAGACAGTCTCTTCAACAAATGGTGTTGGGAAAATTGGACAGCCACATGCAGAAGAATGAAACAACCATTTCCTTACACCACACACAAAAATAGATTCAAAATGGTTGAAAGACCTCAATGTGAGACAGGGGTCCAACAAAATCCTAAAGGAGAACACAGGCAGCAACCTCTTGGACCTCAGCCACAGCAACTTCTTCCTAGAAACATCGCCAAAGGCAAGGGAAGCAAGGGCAAAAATGAACTATTGGGACCTCATCAAGATAAAAAGCTTTTGCACAGCAAAAGAAACAGTCAACAAAACCAAAAGCCAACTGACAGAATGGGAGAAGATATTTGCAAATGACATATCAGATAAAGGGCTAGTATCCAAAATCTATAAGGAACTTTTTAAACTCAACACCCAAAGAACAAATAATCCAATCAAGAAATGGGCAGAAGACATGAACAGACATTTTTCCAAAGAAGACGTCCAAATGGCCAACAGACACATGAAAAAGTGCTGAGCATCACTCGGCATCAGCGAAATCCAGATCAAAACCTCAATGAGATATCACCTCACACCAGTCAGAATGGCTAAAATTAACAAGTCAGGAAACGACGGATGTTGGCGGGGATGCGGAGAAAGGGGAACCCTCCTACACTGTTGGTGGGAATGCAAGCTAGTGCAGCCACTCTGGAAAACAGTATGGAGGTTCTTCAAAAAGTTGAAAATAGAGCTACCGTACGATCCAGGAATTGCACTACTGGGTATTTACCACAAAGATACAAATGTAGGGATCCGAAGGGGTATGTGCACCCCAATGTTTATAGCAGCCATATCCACAATAGCCAAACTGTGGAAAGAGCCAAGATGTCCATCGACAGAAGAATGGATAAAGAAGATGTGGTATATATATACAATGGAATATTATGCAGCCATCAAAAGGAATGAAATCTTGCCATTTGCAACGACATGGATAGAACTGGAGAGTGTTATGCTGAGCGAAATAAGTCAATCAGAGAAGGACATGTATCATATGACCTCACTGATATTAGGAATTTTTAATCTCAAGAAACAAACTGAGGGCTGCTGGAGTGGTGGGGGGTGGGAGGGATGGGGTGGCTGGGTGATAGACTTTGGGGAGGGTATGTGCTATGGTGAGTGCTGTGAATTGTGTAAGACTGTTGAATCACAGACCTGTACCTCTGAAACAAATAATACATTATATGTTAAAAAAAAAAAAAAAAGGGCGCCTGGGTGGCTCAGTCGTTAAGCGTCTGCCTTCGGCTCAGGTCATGATCCCAGGGTCCTGGGATCGAGTCCCACATCGGGCTTCCTGCTCTGCGGGAAGCCTGCTTCTCCCTCTCCCACTCCCCCTGCTTGTGTTCCTGCTCTCGCTATGTCTCTCTCTGTTAAATAAATAAAATCTTTAAAAAAAAAAGAAGATAGCAGGAGGGGAAGAATGAAGGGGGGAAATCGGAGGGGGAGATGAACCATGAGAGATGATGGACTCTGAAAAACAAACTGAGGGTTCTAGAGGGGAGGTGGGTGGGAGGATGGGTTAGCCTGGTGATGGGTATTAAAGAGGGCACGTTCTGCATGGGGCACTGTGTGTTATATGCAAACAATGAATCATGGAACACTACATCAAAAACTAATGATGTAATATATGGTGATTAACATAATAATAAATAAATAAAAAGTCTCTGGAGAGCAGCTGACCTTGATGCTTTCAGAAAACAAATGTTGAGCTAGTCATCACATCTTGTTAGATATAGTAAAACAGTATCTAATAGCAGATACAGGCAAGCAGTGAAAACTTGTTTTCTTACCATACAATTTAAGCTAAATCTAACATTTACTCCTGGCAATGAAGAATATGGTAGGTCTTTATTCCCAATTCTTGGGAGCTAACCTCTCAACTCTTGAAATTTCCCAAGATAAGGGTAACTTTGTTACTCAAAGAACCCCTGGGGCCCCACCTAAGAGTATATGCCAATGACGTGACTCACGGAGGGCCCCTAGTTTGTGCTAATGGGATGATTCAGGATGGGGACTGGCCATGCCAGGAAGACCAACCATGTGACTAGAGGATTAGGGCTTTGAGCCACAGGATATTGGGAAAGGAAGGGTGGGAGACTGAGCCACATGGGCAATGTTGATTCAGTGAGTCAGGCCTACATAATGAAGCCTCAATAAAAAGCTCTAGACAATGAAGCTCAGTGGCCTGGGTGAGCTTCCCTGGTTGGCAATACTCTTTAAATATTGTCACTTCGATGCCACGAGAGCAACTCTGAGTCCTCCCATTGGCATGCTCTCTACAACACCTCACCTGATAAGATCCAAGGGCTGCTTTTTGTATATACTTCGCGGATGAGCCCACTCCCTGTACAGAAGATACCGTTCGCTTGGGCAGCTGAGATCCTCTGACTTATGGCTGAAGTTGCACTGCGAAGCAGAAGCAAACAAGTGAGTATATGATCTCTAGGTGTTCACAAATCTGTTTATTCAATATGGTACTCATACTTCACAGGAATAAGGGGCCCTCATTTGCTGGAAGGGATGGATGATCTAATTTTTAGTGATTCTCAAACAGGTATTATTAATCGCTTGTGGCCACTTAAAAATGTGGGTGGGGAGGAACGCTTGGTTGTTACAATCCTAGAGAACACCTCAGGTACCTGGTGGGAGCCCCAGAGGTGCTTTACATCCTACAAGTGTGCAAAGTCCTAAACAGTTAAAAATTGGGCTGTTCAAGTACCAAAACTGCCACAACGCAGGGACACCTGATAGTCCAGCGCCCTCCTGGGACACCTCTGGGAACCAGGGCCTTAAGGTTGGGTTAGTATCAAGGTCACTTCTAAAACCCAGGCATCTTTGTCCCCCAATTCAGCAGTTCCTCTGTGACAACACATAGAATATAAACAACAAAGAAGTTTGACATATTATACACTTCGCTTACTCAAAACACAAAGCTTCCTGCCTCTACTTCAATTCAGTCACTCTTCCCATCTGACTCATTTTCCTTCCTCCTGTACTAGAACCAGATTATCACCAGGTAAGCCTTAACATGGGTCCTGACCTCCATTCACTTCCCTTCCAAATGCCACAGGAGATCACTCCTTAGCCTCGATGTGGGACACTGCAAGTAAAAGAGGCTTTAGTGGGAAAGAACTGGGCATGGTCAGATGCCAACTGAATATTATTGAACTTTGGCGTCCCAGATTAATATTCATGACAGCTATTTGCAAGTGTCCCCAAAGTCTGTGTCATGCTATAATCACTAATTTTGCTGGGCACAAATATAAAACACATAGACTGTCAGGCCAGGCTGCCATATTGGGTCTCTTCACCAGGAAGTTCAGAACCTGCTTCTCCACCCAGCTCTCTGCTATTCACACATGTGCATCAAGTAGCTCTTTTGTGTCCTAGTTTATTAACATATACAGTACGTTTCAATAATGTCGTCATCCATAAGTACGTGTAATACCCAGTAGCAAAGATCAATCTCAGTCTTGGCTTTCTTGGTCTTAGAGATTCAGATAAATTGAGAGTGAATGTAACAAAGCTACAGCATTCTCTAATATAGTATTTAATTTATTTCAATGACAGAATTTATTTAAAGAGCTTAGATATAACATCCCTGCATTTATGGCATCATTAAGGGTCTGAAGCAGTCACATTTTAAAATTTTCATTTCATGAGGGATGTTACCGGCTAGAGAAGTGTTCTTGAATTTGAGGAGCTCCTGTCATCTCAGAACGGAGTCCTTAAAAAACGTCAACACTCTGCAGTATTGCCATCGTGACAAGAACCCTGACAGATGCCTTTTTAAAAGCCTTGTGATATTCCAGGACACACTAAGAAAATGATATTTCAGGGGGAAAGAGCCTGTGTTCCAGAAAATGGTAAGTGAGAAGATCCAACACATATTTTGCTTAAAAAGAACCAATACTTTTCTGGTTGATAATAACATCTGCCAGTAATTATGAGGATAGCTAACACTTACATTCTACTTCCTATATGCCAGGCATGGTTGTAACATTTGGCAGGGATTAATTAAATTAATCCTCGTAACTCTACAGTATAACTCCATGAGGTAAGTATGAGTATTATCCCCATTTTATTGATGAGGAAACTGAGGAACAGAGAGGCTAAATGACTTTTACAAGGTCATCCAGGTAGAAAGTGGGAGAGCGAGCCCCAGAGCCCACGCTTAACTGCGAATCTGCACTGCTTTACACATGCACTACAGGGCGGCTACTGTTTCAATCATCCATTCATTGACCCATTCAAACTCATGGCCTTCTCTATGCCTGAGAGTCAACAGTGAACAAAACAACCTGGTTCCTGCCCTAAATGAGCTTGTAATCCTTGCAGTAGACCATCTTCATTTTATGAAAGAAGAAACTCAAGGTTAAGATTAGCCCTTCTCTATTCACACTAGAGTATACCTTGGGTATTTTATTTCATTTTTGCCATTTGACTTACATCATGGAGAGGGAAAGCTGCTTTGTAGATCCCAGAGCTGAGAAGTTTGTTAATCCCAAACTTTTTAACATTGTCTCTTACTTGATACATGATCCGAGAGAGGATGAAGTAAACCTAAAAAAAAAAAAAATTCCAAAATAAAATGTGTGCACTAGACTGTGTAACTAACCAACTATTGTTTACTATTGTAACAGGAACCTGTTTTCTTTTCGGGGCAGGGGTTGGGGGCGCAGCTTTTAAAAATGAAACTAAACCAACCAAACCAGACCACTAATTATTCAAACAGCAGGTTCCAAATTACTCTAAGACAGCAACTAAATTTGGTTTAGACTTACAATGCGGCTTCTGGTGGCTGGATTGAAGAAAGTATCTCTATCCTGAATATAAAAATCATTCAACCGGTTCTTCTCAAATGGGGCAGTGAAAAACTCTTGCTCTGGCTTGATGATACTTTCATCCACTTGGAGGACTTTGGTAAACCAGCTGAAATTATCAAAGGCTGAGGACCGGGTTTTCAGATCATTGGGTTTCAGAGGCAATTTGATGTGCATTAGCTCAGCATATGTACATAACACCTCCCATGGGGCATGTACTTTTACAAATACAAGCTTATCATCCAAAATCTACAAAGGAAGAATAAAAACACAAACCAGGACACTAAACCAATTGTTTTCATAATTTTAAAACACATACAGATTGTTCTCATGTTGCTGGTAGTTAAAACACAGGACACTGGTAAAAATGAAGATAAAATAAAAACAGACTTGCACTCCATCAGACATTTTTGCCTTAAAGATAATTTCTTGGTTCAAATTATTGAGCAAGTAATTAAACTCCTTTTCATATTCCTTTCATAAAATTACTATTATTTTAAACGAAGAAAAGCAAACTTGTTAATTTGCCCATCACTCCATCCAAATTGGTGACTAAAAATAAAAACACTAGAATATTCACTGCAGTGTTATTTTAATGATAATTTTAACATTTCTAACCCAGAACAGGACCCTTTATTGTATTATATATCTGTTAAATGTCATGTTATGTGTCCATTAGAAAAAGATGTCAATATAAAAATGCATCTAATACATATTAACGGAAAGAAAAGCGAATTATAAAACTGTGAAATAATAATCCCCCTTTTTGAAAGGGAAAAATGCATATATTTTGAGGAATAAAAAAGTTTAGAAGGACCACAAGGTTATTTACACATAATGAGAACACAGAGGATTTTTATTTTTGTTATTCTTATATCCTCTAATTTTTTGCAAGCTATTGTCTATAAAATAAGAAATCTTTTTAAAAAGCTCTTAAAAGAAGAAAACAATCATTTATACACGCATTCAGTATTACATTCTTTGGCTATTAAAAAAGTTAGGCTGACTTGGATCAGAAACAAACATACATCCTATAATGCAGATTTTGATGGACTCCCCTCCCAGCCTAAGGCAGCACTAGAGTTGCACGTTTCAAATGCCACTCCAGCATTCCAAATGACATGCCACTTCCCAAGAGCACCAGTCAGCCCAGGACTGGGAAGGATCCAACACTTACCGATCTTGTTGCTTCTAAATGCAGGCCATCACAGATGAGGTTAGATTCATATGCTCGTCTTTTTCTCTGTCAAAAGAAATTGGAAAATATGTTAGACCCTGTAGTTTTGCCAAGGACAGAAAAAGTCTTTTAAGAAAAACCAAACCAAACCAAACCAGTTTGAATCTGATGAAAAGAGAGATCTGCTCAAAATGGCACATAAGCAACGAAGGTGCTCCAGCTGTTGGTGATTTGTTCACTTAGCACTCTCGAAGGCCTTGGTTGTCCCCATGGGTTTCTGGCCGTTCAGGATGCATAAAAGTCTCTAACTTTGGCACAATTCCAAAACCTTTTTTTTTTTAAACTCATAAGCGGTTTGGCACACAAATGGAGTTTTTTGAGTCCCATTCACTGATGTCATTTGCCAGAGTTAAAGCCCAGATCTGGCATTCTAGACATATCAGACATACAGATGGTTCAATTTTGGATATGTATATTTCATCTCTACATGCCTTGAACAAATTCAATAAACAACATAAACAATTTTGCAAAATTCAAAAGAATGTTTCTCTCTGCAAGATTAAAATGTCCATGAAGGTATAAACATCTAAAAATCTACAAAAATAGGGAACTAATTAATTGATAATAGATATGTGTCACATGGCCATCTGAAAAGATGCGGAATGTACTGTATTTATTGATATTAAATTCTATCTGGCTAGGCTTTTGTCAAGCTGTGTCCTAAGTTGTAAGGAAAGCATGTAAAAGTAGAGACTTACTTAACCTTTTAGAAGAACACTTTTGGTGTTCTTGAAGAAACAGCTATACTGCTTCATGAAAGCAGAAAAATGAGTAAAGACAGGGGTTAAACATACAAACTCTAAAACCAGACTGCCTGTGTTCAAATTCTGGTGCCATCACTTACCAGCTCTTTGACCCTTGGCAGGAAACAAACTCTCTGTGCCTCATTTTCCTCCTCTATAGAATGGAGAAAGCCTCACGAACTTCCTTTTGAGGTTCTCAAGAGGATTGTATGATTTAAACCACATAAAACACATAAACCAGAATTTCCATTTCTAGTCATCACAGAAGATTAACTGGACCAATTCTCCCACCAAAGACAACTGAAAAAGCTGGACCAAAAAAACCCAAAAACTTGTTTTAACTTGAGCAGTTAACAAGATAAAGGAATTAGTGGATCATGGCTTAGGTAATCCAGGGGATCCGGCAGTCAAGACCACTTTGCCCAGGGAGTGCCATTCACGATTTGCCAACTGCCAAGGGGCAGAGGAGAGGCTGAGCTACTATCAAAGTGCCTAGAACATGGAAAGCAGCTAATAAATAGAAAGCAGATGGCGGTTGTATGAAAAAGGCCCTGAGGCCAAAAGGTGAAAAAATACACCTAGTATTTGGCTAAATTTGAGTCCAAGTGGAATCCCTAACATATTTTGTGGAATTATCAGAAACAGAATATTGCTTTAATTTTTACTTAATAAATGATGTGATACAGTACTTACAACATGCCAGAGCTTTACAAATGTAATACCTTTAATTGCTTGTTACAATTTGAGCATGCAATAGTCACTTAGAGAAAAATCAGCAAGTGCTACAACTACCCTAAACATGAACAAGCAACCAGACCTGCCATATCCCCAACCTCAGCTTGGGAAGCTGCTTCAGACTCATCCTGCTTCTATACAGGTAGTATTTCTTCATTCTAGATCTTAACCTGCATTTTGATTCTTGCATGGTAGTCCAGTTCTCGTGCCTGATTGCTTCTTTCTTCACTACTGCTTAAAATAAGCATTTTTGAGGGGCACTGGGTGACTCAGTAGGTTAAACGTCTGGCTCAGGTCATGATCTCTGGGCTCCATACAGGGCATGGAGCCTGCTTAAGATTCTCTCTCTCCCTCTCCCTCTACCTCCTCGTATAAATAAGTAAATAAATAATAAAAAACAAAATAAAAGCATTTATGATCCTGCAAATAATATTCAACATGGTGCTTGGCACAGAGTAGATGCCCAATACATGCTTGTTGAAAGACTATACTCAACAAATGCTTATTAATCTCTTCTACAAACATTCCCGAGAGCATCCTTCAGGTACTGAAAATTCAAAGAATTTAGAATAGTTTGCTATGGCGGGAACTACAGAGAAACTCAGTGTCTAGTGATCTAAGACCTTCTTCTGATACAGAAGGACTGAAACTTTTATGCATGTGTTTCATGACAGTGTTAACAGGCATTTGCTGTTCTTTATGGCCACCCAATATTTCAACTCTCCCCAGAGCCCATGACCACTATAGCAGAGAAAAACACAATCATTCTCCTTCCTGGTCTCCTGTGAAGTTCAGCTATTTGCACATGAGCTGGGCCTTGTCAATCAGACCAACCACTCCAGACTCTCACTCAGAAGCTAGTGACACAAAGAAGCTGGGCCAAGCAGAACTCATTCGAGGGTGGTTGGGAAAGTGAATGCCAGTTCCCGAGGTAGCAGAAGTAGAGGTCATGGCAGATTTGGGGCACCACTGCTGGTCAGTGGTACCAGCAGTGCTCTGGGCAGCAACCATGCTTTCTTTCCCAGAATGGCTCTGCGGTGGGATTTGGGGCACTGCTCCTAGCTGCCTGGTTTCCAGGTTTATTCATCCAAGCCTTCAGAAGAACCTATGAGCTCCCTAACATTCTTCTGATAAATTCCTTGTCTGCTTAAGTTAGAGCTCATTTCTGTTACTTGCCAGCAAGAATCCTGACTGGTTCAGTAACCACGAACTAGGGAAAAGTTGTTAGCCTCAAACCTACATCCCTGTACAGTGGAGGGAGTGGGTGCTCTGAGTACACCAGACACTCTGCCTTCCTCTCCTTCAGGGAAGATGACTCATCCTGAGTC